GGTCTCCAACCGTCGGTCCGTGGACCGGTACCGGGCTATGACATGCCAGAAACTGGGCTGCGCAAACAAGCAAAGCCCCATCTGCGGGATGCAGGCAGCATATGAAACTACACCCCATCCAGTCCATGGAAAAACCTCTCTCCATGGAACCGGTCCTGGGTGCCAAAAAGGTTGGGGGCTGCTGCTGTAAGGTTTCACTTGATAATAGGTGATATTTTGCCAATACTTCCCTAATGAATACTTGATCTTCTAAAAAACATGGACTGCAGAGCTGCAGTAAAGAATAAAATGTAGAATAACTTCTAAAAGGGGAAGTGGGGGTTGGTGAGGACAGGTCTCGGCTATATCCAAATGCTGTGTTTCATGCAGTGGTATGGTTTCTCCCATGAATATTTTGTGGTGAGATCTCAAAGAGTAAATAGGTGGTAGCATATATTTGGTATTAAGCCTTGACAAGGGGGTGTCTTAAAACAACGTGGACTAATTGCTTAATAAAATCTGGGCTTTTTACATTTAATCTGAGGACAATTAACTATTAACAACCCAGAGCCCATTTGGGATTCCAACAATTCCCTGGCAAGCCATCTTTAACCTGAAGGTAGCCCTCGACATACAACCACAAAGGAACCTCTCATTACAGTTGTAAATCATAAAATGGGTTAATCATGTGACTGGCCTAATTTTACAACCCTTTTTCAGTAATCGTTAAGCAAATGCAGTAGTCATAAAGGGGCTGCCGCTGCTATTAAGCAAACCATTGGTTCACTATGGATGCAATCATGCTGAAAATGGGAAGTTAGTCCTGTTTTTCAGCAAATCATCATAAAACATGGTCATGTGACCACAGGATGTGGAAATTGCCATAAAGCGGCCATGTTGCCCAATGCCTGAAGTTTGGTCACATGACCACAGAGAGGGTCTGGCCATTGGAACTTTGAATCCGGGTCATAATCCCCTTTTGGGGATTGGTCATAACTTCAAATGGTTGCTAAATTACCAGTCATAAATGGAGGACTACCTTTCTCTAGGCTGAGAAAGTTTGTTGCATAAAAGAAACATCTCCAAAAGATTTTCTTCCTTAAGAGCCTGTCTGTCAATCTTTCTTTCGTCTGCCTCTCTATCTGTCATATCTATCATCTATCTATCTATTTATCCATCCATCCATCCATCCATCTATCCATCTATCCATCTATCTAATTTCTGCCCTAACCATATGTGACTATGTGACTCTGGGCAGTTTATCTAGGATGGGGCTGGTCTAAAGGAGCAGTCTAGCAGATTTTGCTGTTTTGCCAAAGTCTTGGGCCAGCCATGTGTAACTTTGCTCCTCAGAGCTTTCACCAGGCCAGGTGTGGTGAGTTCAGAGCCACAATTCACTCTGTCCTCCCTTCACTTTGTGCTTCTAATTTCCTTCATAACATTGAAAAGGAATTGGTGCTGTGTGCAAAGGTTTGCGGAAAGGGGGAGGGCCTGCACATCACTGAACTCCAACCACCTGGCATTACTGCTCGGATTATTAGTTCCTAGTAATTTAGTGCCCTTGCGCAGGGTCGATTTGTGCCTTTCATTTCTAATTGATCTAGTGGCTGTTTAAATGGCAGCAGGCATCTGTTGAGAGTGGGAAGGTTCATAAGGCGAAATAATTCATAACACCGTCTGGAATTTGCCTTTCATATCCCTCAGCTAAGCCTCGGCAGGGCTGCCTAAATTACGACCAGGGAAACTTCCCTCCACCTGCCCCCACCTCCATATTCTGCTCATGGCTGGAAGAATCTTGCATTAAACTGGGATCAGTCTAGATTAGACTGTAATATGGTGCAGTATTAGTGGCTGCAAATGAAGACTTATATCAGAGTTTAACCCCTTCACCTGCTCTTCTCTTTGTTTTGATCCTGGAAAACTCAACTAGCCCATTGGTGCCTCTGATTTGTGGCTGTGTATAATAGAATTTTCAACTTGCCAGACTCTTGGGATAGCTTCAAGATTAAAGCATTCAGGACAACAGGCTTGAAAGAAAGGAAAACGTACTTTGATTAAACAGAGTGAGACTTTCAGCCCTTAGCAAAATTGACCTAAGTTCTTTTCTATTTCCCACATATGCAAAGGCAAGGAGAAAAATGTCATCATTCTCATCTCTCGCTTGCTCGCTCGCTCATTCCCTCCCTCCCTCCCTCCCTCCCTCCCTCCCTCCCTCTCTCTCACACACACACACACTAAACAATCCATGCCCTATTGAGTCTTCTTTTCAGATAGATTTCCTTATCTAAATGGAGAAACAGAATGACCAAGGACAGTCAAAAAAGCAGTGAATGCAAGAGTTACTTTCGACTTCCTGTTGGCTTGCCCATTGAGTATTCTTGTGGCAATATGGCAGGAAGCATTAGAAATCTCCCTCCCTGTCTCCTTTCCTTATATATGGCTGCTGCTGGATGGGGGAAGGAATGAAGGATTGCCAGTGTGTCCCAGAGACCCAAGACCCAGAGTCTTTTTGGCTAATGAGATTGATGGCATATAAATTTAATAAATAAAATGAAGATCATGTTATGCAACAGCAGTATAGCAGCACAACAGCAGTCTATATAGCACAGAAGCAGATACAACTTTCCCAAATGTCTTGGGAGTCCTGGGTCCCAGATTTTGGACACGTTCTGCAAGTTAGCCCATTTAAGCTACCTTGTTTCAGATATTGTCACTCTATGATGCGGTGTTTCACCCTGTTAAAGGTCATGATAACAAGATTTTTAGTGGCATATATAGTTTATCAAAAGAAAAATGGATCTCGCTGTTATGTCTGGCCCATGTTCCTTTCAGAGCAGCCTTGCTGGCAAATTATTTGGTGAAGAAGTGTTTCACACACCTCTCCTTTCTTTCTTCTTCCCTCCTTCTTAGTTTCCATGGGTCTGATGAGGCTTAGCAGATGAGTAACCACATTAAGTTTACTATTCTTAGCTGAATCCCATTCATTTGCTTGTCCTGAAATCCTGTGCTGGGCAACCTTAACATTGTGGATAATCAATTTGAAAAGCAAGATTGTGCATGTTGTCCATGACTAGACTGCTGCATGTTGATGAGTTTGACTTGCATAGAGACTACAAAAAAGAAAAATGAAAGCAGAATACAGGTTGTATAAACATAATCTCCAGGTGTGTATCTGATATAACTATTAGCTCTCTGTTGAAATGCTGAAAAATTTGTGAAGGTACAATGAAAGCTGTCTTACACAAGGTTGGTTATTTGTCCGTTATTTTATTTATTTATTTTATTTTTCAGATTTCTATACCGCTCTTCTCCTTTCGGACTCAGGGCGGTGAACAGTCAAAGTAAAACACTTTATACACAAAAGTTAAAATAGATTTAAAATAATTATATAAATTTGGCCCATAATTTAAAACATTTCAATTTAAAACCAATTTCAAATTTTAAAAACCCATCATAAAATCAGGACAGCCCGGCTAACTGAAAGAAGTAGGATTTAAGGGCCCGACGAAAAGTCCAGAGGTCTGGGATCACTCGTATCTCTGGGGGTAGATTGTTCCAGAGGGTAGGTGCCACCACAGAGAAGGCTTTCCCCCTGGGGGTCGCCAGCCGACATTGTCTGGCCGACAGCACCCTGAGGAGGCCCTCTCTGTGGGAGCGAACTGGCCAGTGGGAGGCAATTGGTGGCAGAAGACGGTCCCGTAAGTACCCCAGCCCTAAGCCATGGAGCGCTTTAAAGGTGATCACCAACACCTTGAAGCGCACCCGGAAGTCCACCGGAAGCCAATGCAGCTTGCGCAGGAGAGGAGTCACGTGGGAGCGCCCCATCGCTCCCATAATCCCCCACGCGGCTGCATTCTGCACCAGTTGGAGCCTCCGGGTGCATCCCAAGGGGAGCCCCATGTAGAGAGCGTTACAATAGTCCAGATGAGAAGTGATGAGTGCTTGAGTGACCGTGCGTAGGGAGTCCCGATCCAGAAAGGGGCACAACTGGCATATCAGGCGAACCTGATAGAAAGCCCCCCTCGCCACGGCCGTCATATGCTCTTCTAAAGACAGCCGTGCATCCAGGAGGATGCCCAAGTTGCGAGCCCGTTCCGTGGAGGCCAATGATTCGCCCCCAATAACCAGCGATGGCACCAGCTGGCTATACTGGGACACCAGCAGCCACAGCCACTCGGTCTTGGAAGGGTTGAGTCGAAGCCTGTTTCTCCCCATCCAGACCCGCACGGCTTCCAGGCACTGGGACATCACTTCAAAGGCATCGTTGGGATGGTCTGGGGTGGAGATGTACAGCTGAGTATCATCAGTGTACTGATGGAACGTTGGCTGGTTCTCCAAGCTGTCAAGCAATGAAGGACTTTCCCAGTTTCCTAGTCACCAGTTTGCTAGGTTTAAACCTAAGAACTTTTGTATGCAAGACTGTCCTTTATCCTTCTGCTGTATGTTCCTGGGCTTTTTCCCTCTCTGAAAGAAAGTTCCCACCCAAACCCAGCCCCCTTCCTTGGCTCTCTCTTTCTTTCTTTCTTTCTTTCTTTCTTTCTTTCTTTCTTTCTTTCTTTCTTTCTTTCTTTTAAATTTCTTCTAATGGTGCTTTCTCAGTTATTTCATTGGGCGATGATAGAAGGCTTGGATTTTTTTTTTCTTGTTATACATCTCTAATTCTGCAGTCTCTCTTGCTTTTCTTGCTTCTTAGTCTGAAAAAAAAGCTCTTTGGGGAGATTTCTCTCCTGATATTTTCCTTTAGGATTTAACTGAAGCGTAGGAAGCTAGGAAGCCCCCAACAAATTTTGAGATGAAAGAAAAGATGCTTGAACATACCTCTCAGGCACCTCCTAACTAAAGCAAGTTCAGGAACATGAGTTTTTTTCATCTCCTTTGAAAAAGAATGGAAGGGGAGCATTCCAATGCAGCAGCATTCATGAATATAGAACAGCATGAAGCTGTGTATACATTGAGAGATAGAAATGGCCTTGCTGATGCATTTGTTTCTGAAATGTCATTCTATTTCCTTTTCCCTTTAGGCATCCTCTTTTCCCCCTCCTGACACTGCTATTTGAGAAATGCGAGCAAGCGACACAGGGCTCGGAATGCATCACCTCTGCCAGCTTTGATGTTGACATTGAGAACTTCGTACACCAGCAAGAACAGGAGCACAAACCATTCTTCAGTGACGATCCTGAGCTCGACAACTTGGTAATTCTTCCACTTCGACCATTTTATCTCATACATATATATTCCTTGAACTCCAAAGTTAATGCCTGCATTGCACCTGCCTCACCACACATTGGCCTTCATATTGAAAGTCTCTGACCTAACAGCAAGGAAACCTAGGTTCTACTTCTTCAATAAATGAGGCCAAACTTTATTTAACAACACATATTTCACTGGCCAAATTGTGCCCTCTCACCACCGATCTCTGCCACAATGATATCCCTGCTCCTTTACCATGTCCTCACCAGAAGTCTCAGTTCAGAACCTTAGAAGTGCCACATGTTTTCCTCTAATAATGACATTCCCTGCCTCTTAATGAGAGATAGCATGAGTGATGATCCATTGTAAGGATCATTGATGATCCACTTGAGCAATCTGTATTCAAACAACTCAAATAGGTTGGTAGCCATTGACCAAGATGATAGGAAAAGTGTGGCCATCAAGATTGGAGGACTGCTGTTACTATTGAAGAGGCTGGTTGATAGAAGATCACATGTTATCTCTCATTTCAAGCTGGTGGGTGTGGACAAATGAAATAGAGGGGAGATTACTGATGATAATTGTCAGGCACAAAAGATCAGGTTCTCATATCAGGTCCACAACTGAATGTTCAATTAAGCTGATTTATTGCTAAGAGCCTGTGCACAGGAATCTTCTCATCTAATAGCCAGCACTTGGTTAGCAGTAGATAAGGGTCACAGGCACTCAAAGAGGGTTGGACATAATTCACTTGTGGCTACATAAGGATTTTAGGCTGATCCCTTTTTTCACTCTATCCCCCAGCTTCTGTATATATGTGGGGGGTGGGGGGTGGGGGGGTGTATAGGTCTTTGGTTATTCGGGTTTTCTCCCGTGTAAAATTGGAAGTGTCTTGGCGATGTTTCAACGAAGTCTCATTCGTCATCTTCAGGCTGGTGTTTTCGGCTTCATGCTTCTAGGAGCAATGTGTGATGGCAGCTGTTTCTTCCTTTTAACTGCCAGTGGGGGTGTGAACTGATTGGGTGGGAGCTTGGCTGTGCTCTGATTGGATGGGGGTGTGTTCTGTTTAGGTGGGGGCTTGGTTGTGCTTGGGTTAGTCTGAGTTGCAGGAGAATTTGAGCTGGTGAGCTGTGTTGCTGTTGTTTGGCTTCACGATCATGGTCATGCCACATCTTCATGGTGGGTATCAGTTTGCTTCATGTATGGATTGGAGGGGTTTAAAGTGGCTAATGATGCAGCTGTGGTCTGGCTTCTGGTTTGTGGTCGTGCCACAATGGGTTAAATCCATCGGTGTGGATTTGGGTTTGCTTTTTGCGTGGATGTGTGGTGGTGACATCCTGTGTGGTTTTCGTGAGTGTGGGTCTGGTGTTATTCTTTGTGTTAGGGACTCCTTTGTCAATAAGGGCAGGTTTCCAAATGGCTGGTAAGCAGGAGGTATCATCTTGTTTATTCATGCTGTGTGGGCGTTTTTCTATCTCGATGGCTTCTCTGATTATTCTGTTGTTAATGAAGCAAACTGACACCCACCATGAAGATGTGGCATGACCACGAACACGAAGCCAAACAACAGCAATGCAGCTCACCAGCTCAAATCCCCCTGCAACTCAGACTAACCCAAGCACAACCAAGCCCCCACCTAAACAGATCACACCCCACACACCCCCATCCAATCAGAGCACAGCCAACCCCCCCATCCAATCAGAGCACAGCCAAGCCCCCAACCAATCAGAACACACCTCCACCCAATCAGAACACAGCCAAGCTCCCACCCAATCAGTTCCCACCCCCACTGGCAGTTAAAAGGAAGAAACAGCTGCCATCACACATTGCTCCTAGAAGCACGAAGCCAAAAACACCAGCCTGAAGATGACGAATGAGACTTTGTCGAAATGTCGCCAAGACATTTCCAATTTTACGCGGGAGAAAACCCGAATAACCAAAGACCTACATACAAACACCCGCGAAAACCTCAGAAAACAAATATATACATACACACACACACACACACACACACACCCTGTACAGTATATATATATATATATATATATAGGGGCCTGTGAGCACAATTTCAGTTCACCAAATACGTATGAATCTAAGAATTCTAAGATATATCATTCAATGGAGGTAACATTTTTCAGTTTCGTGTAGTGATCTGGAACAACTCTATGCCAGACACTTCACCCAAATTTAAAAAGACAGCTGATTATACATATTCTTAAATTCTGAGTCCTTGGCAGCTATCTGAAGATGCCAATTGCTGACACTGAGTTTTTTGGGTTGGTCACTTTGACATCCATTTTGACTGTGCAAACACACTCTCTCTCTCTTTGGCAACTTCTTTCAATATTTGGCTGAAATCAACAAGTTGCTGCTTCAGCTCTTGATGGCAAAGCTATTTCTGTCCTGGAAAATTATATTTATTCCTGAAACACCTTAATAGCAGAAACAAATTTTGATTTTTCTTGTCAGTTGGACTTGCAAGAATGAATGAATGAGTTGTGGACAAAGGCGAGTTAAGGGTTATGTATTAAAAAAACCTGAAAGCAGCAATAGTTGTAATTTTCCTCTTTTTTTGTTTTTTGTTTTCACGGAGAGGGGATTTTTTCCTAGGTACACGAGTATGAACATTTCTTCTAGAGGCATTATCAGGAAAAGATTTGAAGGAGATCACAATGGGTTAAATGCCTGATTTTTCCTTGGTTTCAAGTGGGCTTTTTTGCAATTTGTTCCAACTCCCTTCTGCTATTTTTGTACAGATTATATTAAAGTTCACTGTTCTTATGTTAGCATCCTGTGTCATTTATCCAAGGGATTCAGTGTCAAAAGTTAAAGCTCTGCCAATGAATTCAAGAGCACTGTAAGATGCTGCTGTTCTCCTATAAGGCTGACAGAGTCCTTCTCTTTCCATCACTTGACCTCACTTGATGTACTTCTTTTATTGGAACATAATTAAATGCAATAAAGATGAGGATGTCCTTGGCTCCAGACTGTACTTGTGGCTGAAACACTTCCATAACCAGAAGACTTATTATATCCTTCTAACACAGCCCTTAAGGATCCCCAGTTCCTTTCAGATGAGACGTTTTAGCCATGGCACCAAAATTTCTAGAAAGTACTAAGGAAGACCATATAGGTAAGACCACTATAGGAAGCTACAGATTCTATACTGAGAAACTTTAACAGCATATGAATAAACCTTATGCCAGACTGACCATCACTGGTTCTGCATCAGTAAATAATTGATGGTCATTGCCATCAACGTGTTGCATTTTACATTCAAATTCATTAACAGAATTGGCCTTTGGTGACAAAATGGCATTTTGCTTGAAGCAAATATGGTCACATCTGAACTAGCAACCAAATAATACTCATGAGTTCCTTTCTGCTGCCTTTATTTTCTGTGAATAACATCCCATTGTCCACCAAGGAGAATGGGAAAATTTGGAAATTCCCCAGATTTTCCAGAGAACTACAATCAGTCAGTGTAAACAACACATATAGAATTGGAAGGGATCTTGCAGGTCTTCTAGTCCAACTCCAAGCAGGAGACCATATACCATTTCAGTGAAAGCCTCCAGCGATGGAGGACCCACAACTTCTGAAGGCAAGCTGTTAACATTGGTTGATTGTTCTCACCATTAGAAAATTTCTCCTTAGTTCTAGGTTGCTTTCTCTCCTTGGTTAGTTTCCATCCATTGTTTAATGTCTTGCCTTTTGGTGCTTTGGGAAATAATTTGACCTCCTCATCTTTGTAGGAGCCCCTCAAATATTGGAATACCGCTATCATGTCTCCTCTAGTCCTTCTTTTCATTAGGCCCAATTCCTGTAGCTGTTCTTCATATGTTTTAGCCTCCAGCCCCCCAGTCATTCTTGTTGCTCTTCTCTGTACTCTCTCTAGAGTCTCAACATCTTTTTTAAATAGTGGCGACCAGAATTGAATGCAGTATTCCAGGTGTGGTCTTACTAAGGCTTTGTGAAGCCATATTAGAACTTCATGTGATCTTGATTCTATCCCTCTATTAATGCAGCCTAGGATCACATTGGCTTTTTTGGCTGCTGCTGCTCACTGTTGGCTCATATTTAAGGGATTGTCCACTAGAATTAAACATTATAGAATCTAAACATTATATTTAACACTAAACATTATAGAATCATCCATGGCTACATTCATGGGTCCATATGTCAATGGAAAACAATCTGTTAGGGTCCTCTTTCATGGGATACATGAAAAGAATCTGATTTGAGTAGTTGCTGTAGACCTTCTGTTCATCCAGATAAGTTTTACTTTTTTATATTCCTTACATGCTTTCTCTTGGCATTGTTGTTCTCATCATTATTACAGCCAATATTATTTGCTGTTCAATAAACACCATTCCCTTAATACTACTAAACTCAACTTCTTTTATTATTAATATTAGTATCTTTACTGTTATTGTTACCTCTCCTATTGTTTTCCTGGATTTTTAAACACTCACTAGCGGTAGTACTTGTTGGAAATCTTGCAAACCATGACGCTTCCAATGAATCCTCCCTCCCCAAGACCCTTATCTCCCAAAATTTATTTGTTGTGTGTACATGGTTTTAATGCTACTAATCCTATGTAAATTGTCCACCACTGCTGACAGCAAAGAGGAGAGGAAAAGGCCAGGGACATTAACCATCATTAGAATAAGAATCATGTATTCCTCACAGGCGAGATGCACATAATTAGAAATTAGAAAAAGGTCAGATCTCGCCATTATCAACTCAATCAGCTGCTGAGTGCCACACAGTCAATTAATTCAGCATCTGTATTTTTTACAACCCCGCACACGTATTCCATCGGACTGTAATTCATTATCCGGACAGATATACGGCTCAGCGAAGCAGGGACATAAAATGAGAGACCCCAAGCAAATGAGCTGAGATAATTGAGAGATTTATTATATATGTGTGTGTGTGTGGGTGTGGATGTGTGTGTGGGTGTGGTGTGGGTGTGTTACCCTTACACATGCACACATGCG